AGAGACAGACAGACTGAGCAGGAGCAGGCCGATGCTGTGCACTGTCCTAATGCGGAGATCAGAGCTGTGCTGTGTTCATTGCACAACCCCCGATGCCAACAGAAGCTTCCAGGGAGGGCAGTCCCAGACCCTAACCCATGACCTCGCTTATGCTCGAGCACAAGGCCTCAGGGAAGCCTCCTTCCAGTGCTATTGTTGGCTTTTTTGTATTATTTGATTTGTATCTGTTTCAGTCAAAGAACCCACAGATGAGCCAGTAACACTAAACGGTAGGAGGGAGGGGAGAGGCAGAGACAATGGTGAGGATCTCTGTGGTGGCAGATTGCCTTCCTGGTGCTGCTCAGGGAGGCTGGTTCCGGCTGAAGGGTCTGCGAATCTGTCCACGTCAGGATCCTATGATCTGGCTGGGTGTTTGTTTGTTTGTTTGTTTGTTTTAAATGAAGGGATCAATGGGTGTGTGGTTAAGTGATGTGTACCTGGATAGGTAGATGGACAGATGGATGGACAAACAAATGGGAAGATAAACAAATGGACAGATTGATGAATAGATGGTTGCATAGACATATAGGTTGATAGGTGAGTGGGTGTTATTTGGGTGTTATTTGGGTGAGGGGGTTTATGAATGAAAAGACTGCATCTATTGATGGAGGTGCAAATAGGTGGAAGGATGGACATGCCAGTGAACAGACAAATAGACGGCTGGATGATGGCTGGCTGGAGAAATGGATGGATGGAAGAGCAGACCAGCATTCAACAGGTATCAGTTCTGGAGCACTCACGATGCTTTCACAACTGTCACTCATTTAATCATCTCAAGCACGCTGTGGGGAGGTAAACTCCAGTTTCTACAGCGGAGGAAGCCAAGACCCAGAGAGTGGAAGTCATTTTTGTGGAGAGGGCAAGATACTGAAACCCAAATCCCCCTCCCCCTACAGTGCCCTGGGCAAGTACCACCCAGCCCACCATCATGAGGAAATGGCCTATCCGAAGGCACCGCCCCCGATCCCCCCAGCCCCAACCCGCCCCCGCGCCCCGTGAGCCAGTGGCTGACCTCAGCATCCGCTTTGTGACGTGACTTGCTTTGGAAACCTGGAGCCAGCAGCATGTGGTACCTGTCCCTGAGAATCACTCCTCACCAACTCACTCCAAGTTCAGAGAGAAGGCGTGCCAGCCTCAGCCCTAGGCTATAGCCGGGAAAGTCCCATTGTGTTGCCCTTGGCTCCTGGCTCAGATCCTCATCTCAGCCCATCAGTCCCCAGCTTGACCTTTAGACAAAAGTCAGCTTATGGGTCTTCCGGAACATTTCAGTAAATTGTAACTACTTCCTTATCCTTGTTCTGGCTCGGCCTTGAAGGGAGCGTCCCTAGGTTGTCTGTGTTGGCCATGAACTGGCTCCTCTTGCGCAACACGGAACTGGGCAGTTCTCATCACAACCTGTCCAAGAAGAAGCCTGTCACTAGATCTGTGTCATAGGGAGGCCGCATGGACAGTGCAGCCAGCAGGGGCGCCTGACAGCAGCTCCTGTGTAGACGGGGGTGGCTACAGACACAGCCTCTGGGTGTGGTGCTGCATAGAGCCCAGCTACCCCCCTGGGCTCCCAGCTACCCCAACCCGGGGTAACAGGGCTCTATAAGCAGAAACGCCATTCTTAAAATCCTCTGGCGGTACCATCCAGGGAAGGAAGCCAGACTAAGAGAAGACAAAGGGGACCCATGTTTGTACAAAGTCAATACCAGGCTGCAAAACCTGGGATTTTCTGTAACCTGCTACTGGGGCTGGGGGTGGGTGGGTGAGGATGGGGATGGAGTGGCCCTTGGAGGGTGGGGTAAAATATGCCAATGGAAAATGAAGGTTGGTCTGCAGACCTCATGCACACGGAGAACACAGATGCACAGAGAGACACCCGCTCGGCCTGTGTAGGAGAGGCTCTTAGAGCTGGGCTGTGTGGTCATCTGAAGAGATAAAGGCCGCTCTCTAAGGAGGGCTCTTGTCTGGAGACCTCCTGGGGTTGACTGGTGCAGGGCAGGTTTACCAGTTGTCATGGGTTAAACAGGAATGTAGAACTGAAAGCAGGCTGATTGGCATGTCCCTGTAACCCCAGCACTCCAGAGGTGAAAGTGGGGCTCTCTGGAGTCCAAAGCTGCCATAGCTACATGGTAAGTCAGGTCCAGTCTGAGGATGGGGTTTCCTGCTTAGAAAATAACTTGTGAAACAAAATCTGGAAGGCAGAACCGGGCCTTTTTATTTGTCATTTGCTGACTTCTGGAGGGAAGTTAGGCAGAAGGAGACAGAGAATTTATTAACAAAATATTTGACCCTTGGCAGCAAGAGGAAATGAGAAGGCAAGGTGGACTCTGAAAGGCCAAATCCTTCACTAGACTTGAGTTCTGAGCTCTGGAAGGAAGATAGGATAGAGCAGAGTGCAGGAAGTGGGCAGAGAGAATAATTCTGGAAGGGTGGTGTCCATGGGAACAGAGCAAGGGGTTCCATGGCACCCAGACTTAGAATGATGGCCATTTCTTCCTAGAAGTAGCTGCCAAGGGCACCGTTCTCTGAAAGGGCAGAGGGCCAAGGGTGAGCTCACCTGTCCTCTCCTGCTACCCTGGGCAGTCTCTGGCCTGGAGTTCAGCTCTTAGGCTCGGTGGCTGGCCAGGAGGCCCCAGAGGCCCTCATCTCCTCTTCCCCACACTAGGATTGCTCTGGCCCTCATGTTTGGCTGTGGGTTGGCCTTATGGTTGGTCTCTGTGGAGCATTCCAGACAGCCACTCCGGAGTTTCAGGAAATACAGGGCTTACCCTGAGGGGCATGTTCTCACGTCCTCTGAAACTGTAATGACAGACCATGGTGAGCTGCCCTGTGGGTGCTCGGAATCGAACCCTGGCCCTCTGGAAGAGCAGACCCTCTTGAAGAATGGTAGCCATCCCCTCCATGGCCCTGGCAGCCCCATCACCTCATCCCACACAGATAATAGGAGTTTCTCAAGCTTCCAAGAAAAGGGTGCGATTTGCAAAGGTCTCTCTGATGACCTGGTCTGTCCCGTGCCCTTTTGTACAGCTGCTAAAACCCAGGTAGAAGGCGCTCACCAACCGAGTAGATGCTGGCACCAGCAGCTGAGGACAGCACCTGGCAGAATGAAGAATCTCATTGGCAGTTAGTAGCCATGGTAACTACAGGCTGAGGCTGACACCAAAATCTTCAAGAAAGAATGGGAGTTTTGCTAATAACCGCACAGAAGACTCAACCACAGTGCTTCTGATTCTAACTAGGAAGAGCAGGAAAAAAGCAGGCAACCTGCCCAGGCCTGGACCTCAAATGCCTTCTGGGATGAAGGAGCTTCTCTGAAAGCTCAAGCAGCACCTGACAACTTGTGGCCAGATACTTTTGGGAAATGAAATGCAAACGAATTGCCAGAAAAACGTGAAAGAAAGGCGGCCCCTGGACTAGACTCAACTGACGTAAAGTTACTCTGTCAAAGGCTTTCTTTAAAATATGCATCTTATTTTGGGGGGGCTGCAGAGATGGCTCGGTGGCTAAGAGCACACTGGCTGCTCTTCCAGAGGACCTGTGTTCAATTCCCAACACCTTACAGATGGCAGCTCACTTCCATCTGTAACTCTAGTTTCAAGAGACACGGGCAAGCACTGTACATGCAGACAAAACACCCAGACACATAAAATAAATCTTCAAAAAAAGAAACATTAATTTTATTTTTAATTGTGTGTGTGTGTGTGTGTGTATGTGTGTGTGTGGTGTGTATGTGTTCGAGTATCGTGTGTATGTCCTCGGAGGCCGGAAGCAGGACCTCCTGCTCTTGTAAGCTACATGGTATGGGTGCTGGAAGTCAAATGCTGGTCCTCTGGAAGAGCCTTTTAACTGTTAAACCACCTTTCTAGCTCCAAGTCACGGGGCTGCCCCCCACAACCCCAGAACAAAGATGCGTTAGGAACAAAGAGTTAAGAGTCAAGTGTGGCGGTGCGAGCTCTCCAGTGCATACGTTCAGGAGGCCGAGGCCAGCTTGGGGCACATGGTGAGATTTCCTTCCAGGTGAGAGTGAAAGACCCCAGCCTCACACTAAGTTAAACATAGCTAATGCCATTTTGTGAGACACCACTGTTTTGTAAAACTCTGAAGGCCAGATGAGAAACTGGAAAATTACTGAGAAATCCTAGCTGTGTCACCCACTTGGGATATCTGTGGTCAGGCTGCCCCAGTCATACTAAAAACAGTTTGTGTTAATCACTCTCATAGATATCTGTGAGACTGTTTCAGCTAAGATAGGGAAAAACAAAATAACAGGTGGCGGGCCACGTCAAGGGGTCATCCTACCCCCCTTGACCACCCAGCTCCTGGAATCTTGGTGCCCCTGCCAAACTTCGACGCAAATTGTGGTCTCGTGTAAACGTACCAATCAGCCCCCTGTAACCATGCCCTCTCGTGTCTGTACCAGTGCTTCTGCCCTAAAACCCTATAAAAACCCCAGCTTCCCATCTAGGGGGCGCGCAAGGTCTTCCTGAGTGACCTTGCTGCCCGAGTACTCGTAAATCAAAATAAAAGCCTCTTGCTGTTTGCATCCGAATGGACTCGTTGATCCTTGGGAGGGGGTCTCTCTGACGGAAGATACCCTCCGGGGATCTTTCAAGAGCACAGGTTCTGAACCACACCTGATTGATGGATTGGTTGGTTGTTTGACCGAGTGATTGCCATTCTGTCCCAGCTGTGTGACCATAGGAACCTCACATGCCCTCTCTGAGCTTCCCCACCTCCCCCCCCCCAGCACTGTGTCGCAACTAAAAGAGCCGACACAGGTAGAGCTGAAGGGGAACCAGGCCTGTGGTGAGTGACATGTGGGTAGCTGCCTGTGTTTGACATCACTGCAGCTCCCAACACCTCCAGGAGGCCCCCTGCAAACCCACCAGTTGAGATTCATTTTCTCAACGTCTATCTTAAGCTTCCAAGTCTCCAATCCCACCGGAAGAGGATCCGGGACTAGAGTTTGTGGCTCACAGGGCCCATTGCAAAGCAAAGGCCAGAAACACTAGTGGCGATATCTGAGAAGCCCCAGAGGCTCGGGAGTGGCCTCCGCAGGCACCAAAGGCGTTCTCGGCCAGGGTTCTCCGAATCCAGTCTACGTAGGCCGGCACCCAAGTGTAGACACCAGGCCTGTATGGACGAGCACAGCCAATCCCCCAGCTGGTGATGCCGACCTGGATCCAGGAACCGTTGATGGCACAAACCAATGGTCCGCCAGAGTCGCCCTGAGAGAGAAGGAGGAGGACTCGGTCAAGAGAGACTTTTTAAAAAACACCCTCTGCCAAGGCCACAGAGGCTGGGTGAGCGTTCTTTCTAGTCCTCCTGGCACCCCTGGGATATGGGGTACAGGTATGGAATGTGAGGCAAGAGAGCCAGGGAAATCCAGAGGGCTGCTGTCACCTGGCAGGCGTCTTTCCTGCCCTCCACAAAGCCTGCGCAGAGCATGTCTGCCTGGATGAACCGTTTCCCTGACTGGCTAGTCTCCCGGATGTGGTACATCTTCTCACACTCCTCTGAGTCCAAGAGGGGCACGGCCAGCTCCTGGAGGACACTGGCGAACTCTGGACCAGAGAGAAGCTTGGCCTGAGTACAGCCTGACCCAGTGGAACCCCTCCCACCATGCAGACAGCCAGGACCTCCTGCCACTTCTCTGTTCTCTGGTCCCTCCCATGTTCCCAAAGCAGAGAACAGAGTCAGGGAACACGGTTCACATCCAGTCTGCCCGCTGTGAGCTGTGCCTGCTTCCATAACTCACGGCTGCTGAGCAGAAGCTTACCCACGTCTGCAGTAGGTAGAATCCTGGGCACCAGGTGGGGTTCCCCAAGTCAAGGCGAACCCCACAATTTGGCAATACATCCCCTGGACAGGTCACCCTCTAGCAGGAGTAGGGACTGAGTGTGGACATACGCCCTTACCTCTTTCCTGGGTAGACCCCCAGCCTGTTACCCAGCAGACAGTTCCAGGAGTGAGGGGAGTGTGGGCTTCTGGGAGGCAGATGGGAGTGAACTGAGAGGGCCGCAGAAGAATGCCCAGCTGCACGAGGGCAATGTCCCCACTGGTCCCGTCTTCCCAGAGGTAGGTGGGGTAGACAGAGATGTTTCTCACAGCCACTATGGTTGACTGGGGTTCCGAAAGGGAGGCTGTCAGTCCCCCAACCTTCACGTAGTAGAGGCTAGGGTTCAGAGACCTAAGAAAGGACAGACCCAGGCTGCTGAGGCATCTGCCAGAGAGCGACAGGGTAAAGAGAATGGCAGCCGCTCTCCACCCCTACTTTCCCTTACCTGCGGAAGCAGTGGGCAGCCGTGAGCACCCACCTCTCATGGATGAGAGCGCCCCCACATATGTGGCCCTCTTCGGCTATCCCCAGGCTGACCTGCCAAGGCCACTGTCCTTCCAGAGCATCTTGGCCACCCACGATCTTCCCAGCATCTATGGCGTGGCTACATACTGCAGAGGGGCCTTCTTAGAAAGCCAGGCCCTTCCTGGGTCCCACCGTCTCCAACGACTTCCATCCCCTGCCCTGGGCTTTGCCCTGTGAAAACTCTGGGCTGGACATTTCCTGAAGGCAACATATCACTACATTCCCCTAGAAAACAAGAGAAAGTTCCTCCGTGCTCTCTGGCCAATACAGAAACACATAACTGGCCAAAATACTGAGGCTAAGCGACAGAGTGCTCAGCCCTAAGTGGGACACCGGTATCTACACAACACCCTCCCAGGCTCCAGAACATCACTGAAGAGGAGGCAGACAGAATGCCAGCGGCAGGAGGGGGAGGAGAGCGGTGAAATGCTGTCTTCTGAGCATGACACGGCTGTTGCACGCATGTAGCTACTCACGGCAGGGTAGTAGCCTGCAAATTCGGACACTCAAAACTCCATTGTGGATGGAGAGTGGCTCCCGGGGCCCACCCCCCGCTGAGGACCTATTGGCAGTTGATTGATGGTAAGTTAAGGAGAGTAATTTGGGGGGGGGTGTGCACTGGTACGTTGACCATGCTTCTCTGCATGGCCCCACACCCATGTACGAGTGGACACCAGTAGCTGGACTCAGTGAGTTACGAAAGAAGAGGAGGAAGAGGAGGACAACGAGGACAAGAAGGCAGAGATGATGATGATGATGATGAAGTTGGAAGAGTTACATGTTGGGGAAGGCCCAAGGGAACTGAAGAGAGAGGATAGGAGATGGATATGATTAAAGTAAACTGTTTTTATGTTTTTCTCAGACAGGGTTTCTCTGTGTAGCCTTGGCTGTCCTGGACTCACTTTGTAGATCAGGCTGACCTTGAACTCACAGAGATCCGCCTGACTCTGCCTCCCTGAGTGCTGGGATCACAGGTATGCACCACTGTGCCCAGCTTGATCAAATTAATTATATATACATGAAATTCTCATAGGATTTTTTAAAAAAGAAAACAAAAGCAGGGGCCTGGGGTCAGCATTCCATCTACGCTATTACCACCTAAGACCTGACACACAGCGATTGGCCTTCTACTCTCAGCCCTCTCCTGGTTGCCTAGAGAGAGTGGCTGAGGATCATAGGGAAGCAGGATGATGGAGGAGGAATGCTGAGGCCATCACAGAAGAGAGGAGTTGAAGGTGACGAGGCATGAACTCTGCTTACCTGGCAGTAACTGCAGCAAGAGAAGAAAGACGCACCTCGCCCAGGACTCCATGGCTCCTCTCCAGTCCACAGCACCTTGGGGTCAGAGTCCTTGAATCGCCCTAAGGAAGGGCTGCATTTCAGTGCTTAGAGGCAAACTGGAGCCCAGTAACCTGACAGAACCCGCCCATCCAGGCTCCTGTCCTGCAGTTCCAGGGATGTGGCTCAGTAAAACCAGGGTTATTCACAGCCCATCAGGAACCAGAGGCGAGGTATCGCTCCACCGGTGAGGTTAGCACAGGGAAGACTCATCCGCTCTTCAGGAAGGTGGGGGCCCTCATTGCGTTACTCATTTTGTCTAGGAGACCCAGGGCTCTGCTTACCGATGCCAGAAGATTGCAGCCCTTTCTGGCCCCACACCGATCTCATAGATGAGTCAGCAACACCTAACTCCAGAGTCCCCTCTCACTACAGTGGCTCATGGCCCTCTCTTGGTCAACCCTATTTAAGAAGTTGGAACCCGTAGAAGTCCTGTCGGTCACTACGGAAACAAATGTAGTCAGGGTTTGTCCTCCAGTCCCAGAAGTATCAACTCAGAAATACTTAAGAAAGCTATTTCCTTCTACCATTTCCTTCTGCTGCTATGGCTACTTCAAGTTTCCTTCTCCCATTCTAGGGACAAAAGCAACACTCAGGCCAGTCTCAAGCCAGGATTCCAGTGAACCCCTCAGTGGGGTTGGACTAGTTCCCTGTTCCTGTATCACTGTTTCGAGACAGGTTCTCACTATGTAGTTCTGGTTGTTCTGAAACTCCCTCTGTAGACCAGGCTGGCTTCGAACTCACAGAGAGCTGCCTGCCTCTGCCTCCCAACTGCTGGAATTAAAGATGTATGCCACTTTACAGCTTACAAAGACCTTCCGTGTAATACTAATCTCATTGGCCTAGAATAGGACCACAACCACAAATTTTGAGCCAAATTTGAAGCAAGATTTGTTAAACACTAGCCAGGATGATGGACACTGGTCAGGTCCACACCTGGGATTCCCAGAAAATGATGCCAAATTATGTTAGTCAGGTTCTTATAAAATCAAAACCCACAAGGCTACATACTTTCTGCCTTTGTTCAGTCAGGGACAAGCATATATTCTGATGTATAGATATCTCTCTCTTTCCTTTTTAAATAATTTTTATTTATTTATTTTATATACATTTGGTGTTTGGCCTACATAAATGTCTGTGTGAGGGAGTCAGATCCCCTGGAACTTGAATTACAGACAGTTGTGAGCTGCCATGTGCATGCTGGGAATTGAACCCCAGTCCTCTGGAAGAGCAGCCAATGCTCTTAACCACTGACCCATCTCTCCAGCTCCCCCCTTTTTTTTGAGACAGAGTTTTCCTGTGTAGCCCTGGCTGTCCTGGAATTTTCTCTGTAGATCAGGCTTTCCTGGAACTCTCGGAGACCTGCCTGCCTCTGCCTCCTGAGTGCTGGGGTTAAAGGCACGCACCACCACCACCCAGCTGTTACATAGATCTCGTAAGCCCAGTAATGTAAACGTAAAACATAACTTTTGCCCTCACAGTAGCCATGACTTATCTATATTTACCTTACTTTGTTCTTCAAGGAGATTTCTGTATACTTTGTTGTACATATGGAATTGGATTAATTATCACCAGAAAAGTTTTTACTAAATTGTGCTGTGCTTAAATATGCCCAAAATAAGTTGGTTCAGACTTCAAGTCTGAACCAATGCCAGCTGCTGAGCTATACTGAAACAAATGATTCCTTGCCTCCATGGACCATCTCTCTGCAGGCCTGTGAAGGTCACAGAGACACACACCCAGTTCTAAATTCAGGCCTTCATGGAATTGGTTCCATTGCAATCGGCCTGTGCGGACAGAGCATCCTGACAGAAGGATGTGGCTGAAACAAGCTTCTCTCAGTAGGGAAGAGTGTTTGCTGTGCAAACATGAGAACCTTAGCTGGAGTGAATCACAGTGTGCCCCTACTTGGAGATGGGAGGTGGAGATGGGGAGTCTTCAGCATAAAGGCCTGGCTTACCAGGTGGGAAGAGACCATCTCAGACAGGAGGGACAAGAAGCACCCCACAAAGGTTGACCTCTGATCTCAACATGAGTACCATGGTGGTACGCATGTGCCTATAACATGTGTCTAGACACCCCACAACAAATTTCAGTGCTCCCACACACACACACATGCCAGGCATGGCCACACATGGCTATAAAGTTGGCATGTGGGGAATGCAGGTAAAAGGTTTTTAGGGCTTGCTGCCAGCCTAGCTCTAGGTTTAGTGAGAGCTGTGCACACATTTGCTTCTCCTTCTTAAAAAAAGAAAAGAAAAAGTAAAGAAAGAAAAAAGAAAAGCTATGGATGCTTTTTATTCTGTTTATCCGTTTTACAGATAAAAATGAAAAACAAGTTCTCAAAAATTTAGAGTCAGGAAGGGGCTGGGAATGTAGTCCAATCAGCGGAGTGTCTAGCAGACATGAGGATCTGGATTTGATGTCTGCACCACATAAACTCGCGGTGTTGCCAGCCTGTAGTCACAAGCATCTGGGAGGAAGTGGCAAGAGGATCGGGAGTTCAGTGTTATTTGCTACACAGAGAATTTGAGGCCCGCCTAAATAATAAATAAAGTGTGACTTAAACAAAACAAAATCATCAGAGTGGAAATACCCAGGCTCTGAGTCACCTAGTTAAAGGGAGATATGAGTTAAGGCACAAGAAACTGCCAGGTGTTGGTTTCACAACTGGAGTGAGATAGGGAGGCCAGCTGTAAGACAAAGCCAGCTCCCACTAGGTTCGCAAGTGGTGACTTTTGTCCCTAGGAAGGAGATAGCCCATGTGACCTCACACCTTCCCTGTCTCCCCAGGGACACCAAATCACAGCTGCCCCACCCACAGCTCCCAGGTTGCAGTTCTTCAGACTCTGTGTTCTTTTTACTTCAACAGTTTCTGGGTTTAAACCAATCAATTAAAAAAATTTCAATCTCAAGCCAGGCACATGCCTTTAATTCCAGCACTAAGGGAGGCAGAGGCAGGCAAGTCTCTGAGAGTTTGAGGCCAGCCTGGTCTACAAAGTGAGTCCAGGACAGCCAAGGCTACATAGAGAAACCCTGTCTTGAAAAACAAAACAAAACAACAACAACAACAACAACAAATGAATCGCACAGGAGGGACAGTGGGCAGATCTAGCCAGGAATAAGTTGAACAAGAGAAGAGCTGGGATGGCTTCTAGTCAAAAGCTATCAACATACGGGGCTTCGGGTACTGCTTTGAACAAAGGGGCAGACTTTTATTGATTTTTGGTGTGTGTGGGGGTGTGCAGAGGGTAGCTCCTTATAATTTTCTACTGGCCAAACACAATGTCAAAAGATGTTTTCCTCTTGTGTGAGACATGGGTCAACTGGACGAATGGTCAACTCATCCTAGAAACTGCTGAGTTCCTCTTGCTGCTGGTGCCATTGTCCTGTACAAACATCCTGGCTCTGTGGTTTGTTCTGGGCCTGATGATGGGTAAGAAGCAGCTGAAGGATTGCGTACAAGGGCGGGGTAGAAGAAATACACTAGCTCTAACACGCAGCAGGCCAAGTTCACAGTGTGTCACAGCCTTGGAAAAAATATTCTTCTAGTGATCCACACGTCAGCGTACCAACCCAAAGGTTTAGGCTAGGAAGAGAAAGAGATGTCACCCATCAGACCTCTGAAAACCAAAGTCAAGTCAGTGCTTTCAGGAAAAGTGGACTCAGGTGGATGAGAAGGGACCAAGGCAACTGTTACTATAACCCATCAATGAGGAGAATCCAAGGCAACTGTTACCATAACCCATGCATCACAGGAGGCCTCCACAGAATCTAGTGTGAAGTTAGTAACCTGTTTTCAGGCTGTGTGACTTTCAAAATGAAACCCAGGCTAGCCTCATGTAGCTAATGCTGACCTTGAGCTTCTGGCCCTCCTGCCTCCACACCCTGAGTTCAGGGGTTATAGCCATGTACGGCCACACCTGGTATGGAAGGGTTTTTTAGGTTGACGAAGGGCAAGTGAAGCTAATGGGTTTGCGGTTAATTTTTCCCTTAGTAACACCTGAGTTGAGGTGTCTCTTGGGGGCTTTGACAGGGTGAGGTTTTATCATTGCCAGCATATGGAGAGCAGATGTTGACCAGAATAATGGAGCTGAACCAAAGGAAGAAAAGTTTTGTAGAGTGAACATGAAATGTACTCACAGGTTCACATTTCACTGGCTACGTGTGTGTGTGTGTGTGTGTGTGTGTGTGTGTGTGTGTGTGTGTCTGAATACACATATGCAACAAGTGGAGGGCAGAAAACATCTTGTGTCAGTTAAGTCTCTCCTCCCACTCTGTGGGTCCCAGGGATCTACCCCAGGCTGTCGGGCTTGTCAGCAGATGCCTTAGCTGATGAGATGTCTCAGCAGCCCGGAGGCGGAACCTTTAGGAGGCGAGGCTGAGCTGGAAGAAGCAGTCACTGGGGATGGCTCTTCGAGGGTGCACTATCTTTGCTCCTTCCTGTCACGCTCCCTTGGCTTCTATGAGGAGTCTCAGCCCCACACTTCTCCCACCACGGAACTTGAAAACTGAGAACCAAATTAAATCCTCTCTCCTCCTTTTAGGTGTTTCTGTCAGGTATTTTGCCATGGTGACAAGAAAAGTAACTGAGGCAGACGGGTTTTCCAGTTCCCACAGGGAGCCCAGTTCTCACTGGATCTCTGGACCTGGTCAACCCCTAGGACACTTGGCTAATCCCTGAACAAGGTCAATAAAAAATGGTTTCTGCTAATGAGGTAAATGGGAGCAAGTGCAAAATGAGAAAAACAAGAGAGAGATCCGCATGGTCTGCCAAACGAGCAAACTTGTCATAGCAACTGCCACTAACAGACAACCCTTTACTAACACTTATGACCAGGCAAGGACATTTGTTGGAGATACCCAAGCACTGAACCCTAATAAACTAGGACTGTTTCCTAAGGAAGATAATCAGGGCTGGTGATAGCTCAGCAGATAAGAGCACTTGGCTGCTAAGCTAGAAACTGAGTTAGA